GTTATTGACACTTTTTTCCCATTTACAATCATTTTGATTGAATGACAAATAAATGTGTACATTTAAAAATTCACGATTTTCATAGGCCAATGCACACGATTTTTATCCATTTTTGTTTGTTTCGTTCAATTGACAATCAAGTATGCTGTATGCGTACTCTAGATTTTCATGGCCTATTGCTCATGATATTTGTCCATTTCGAACAATTGAATTATGTTTACTTCAAAATTAGCATGGACTATAAAACTCATAACTTTTTCCATTTTGATGCAATATAGCAATTAACTACATGTACCTCAGAATTTGCGATTTTTATAGGCTATCCATGATTATTGTGCATTTTTGTTTGTTCTGATCAATGGTTATTAAGTATGTGTACTTAAAATTTTGCGATTTTCATGTGTTAACTCATAATTTTTGTCCTTTTTTATTTTCCACCTCATGTCAATTAAGTATGCATACTTTAAATTCTGTAATTTTCATGGACTATGTGACACCCTCACTTTAGTCCCACATGGACTAGTGTGACGAATTGTTAGTGGTTTAAATAGAGAAAAATCCAAGACCTAAGAACAACTAATGTTAGCATTTTGACGGTGAATTTAAGCCAACATCGAGTTACTCTTTATGGGGTCTCATGGCTTGTATGCGCCAACGGGCTTGTGGGCTCGGGGCGTAACAAAATGATACCAGAGCAGTTGTCAACCGGAAGTGTGGAGCTAAGTGCTATACGGAACTAAGTGCTACACCGCATGATGCGCTGGGAGTCCTCTCTAGAATCCATATCGCCTAGCAAGTGACACTGGGATGTGTTAATTGTCATGCCGTGACGACGAGGACGTCGTCTTTGTAAGGTGGGATGATTGTGACACCCTCACTTTAGTCCTACATGAACTAGTGTGAAGAATTATTAGTGGTTTAAATAGAAACAACCCAAGACCTAAGAACAACTAGTGCTAGCATTTTGGCGATGGATTTAATCCAACATCAAGTTACTCTTTATGGTTCTCACGGCTTGTACGCGCCAACAGGCCCATGGGCCCGGGGCGTAACAGGCTATAATGTTCATTTTTGCTATGTTTGACCTAATGGTAGTTAAGTTTGTGTATTTTAAAATTTTGCAATTTTCATGGACTATAATGTTCATTTTTGCTATGTTTGACCTTATGGTAGTTAAGTTTGTGTATTTCAAAATATAAGTTTGACCTAATGGTAGTTAAGTTCGTGTATTTCAAAATTTCATAATTTTCATGGGCTATAATGTTCATTTTTGCTATGTTTGACCTAATGGTAGTTAAGTTTGTGTATTTTCATGGGCTATAATGTTCATTTTTGCTATTTTTAACCTAATGTTAGTTAAGTTTGTCCATATGTAAGATCATCATTATGGATACGAGTCTTTTCCACAGAAAAAGGGAATCTTTTGTTAAGATCCTATGAATTTGAATTCAGATCAATTGTATCTCAAATAAAGCTTGTCTCTTGAACAAGTAAATGAGTGATCCTATGAATTTGAATTCAGATCAATTGTATCTCAAATAAAGCTTGTCTCTTGAACAAGTAAATGAGTTATGTTATATATGTTATAACATATCAATTGTATCTCAAATAAAGCTTGTCTCTTGAACAAGTAAATGAGTTATGTTATATATGTTATAACATGTGTGTGTTTCATTTTTTATATAATTTTTTATTTTTAATATAATTTAATATTAATATATGTATGTGTTCTTTTCTAATTAAGTAATTAAGGAAATAAAATGAAAAAATACTTAATTAATAAGAATTGAAAAAATATGCATATTCTATATTTCTATTGTACGCGCCTGGTACTCGGACATTGGCTCGAGGCATTTCCTCTACCCCTTCTTACCCTAAAAAAGCAAGGTCACCTTGCGTCCTTGAACCGATAACCATCTTTCGGCTAACCTAACCTCCTCATTCAAAATATGTGATTTCATTGGTGATAGGTCACAGTTTTGTCCATTTTTATTTGTTTCGGTCCTATGACATCAAATATATATAACGTAATTCAAATTCACAATAGTCACCCGCAAACTTTGTCCATTTTTGTTTCTTTCAACTCTACAACAATTAAGTATACATACTCCAAACTTTTTATTTTTAATGGGCTATACCTTACAATAGTTGTTCATTTTCGATTGTTTTGATTCAATAACAATTATGTACGCAAACTTCAAAATTCATAATTTTCATGATATAACCCAAAAGTTTTGTCATTCTTTATAGTTTCAACCCAATGTAAATTCCATACGACTACTTTGATTTGCGATTTTTATGTGCTTTGCTCATGATTTTTATCCATTTTTATTTGTTTCAACCCAGTCAGAATTAAGTAGGCTTATTTCAAATTTCTCATTTTTGTGGGCTTACACGAATAATTTTTGTCTATTGGCATCTAAGTTGCATGGAAACGAGCACGAATACTGGTACGAGTGTGGGTACGGGTACGGGACACGGTAAAACTATAAAATGTAGGGTACGGGGACACGACTACATATATATATTCAATTAATACTGTACATAAGATAATTTTTTCCCCATCATGTGTCATTAGAATTAAAATTCCGATCATATTTTTGAGTTTCTTTTATCATATTGATTATCGTGAATAATTCCGATCATATTTTTGAGTTTCTTTTATCATATTGATTATCGTGAATTGTAAACTACTCATTTTTTACTAGACATCTAAACGACCCATTAACTATATAGTTTTAAACTTAGGTATGGACTGAAACGGATCCGACCCGTATCTCATTAGTTTTAAAAGACGGATATGAATCGTAAGCTCTACGCCCAGAAAGTCTTTGACAAGTATCTTAAATTAACACATATATCGTATAATTGAGTACATGTTGTAATAAACGCATGTATATATTCAAGAAGTGTCCATAAAGTTTAGGCATGGGAAAGTATCGGGTACGTGTCCGGTACAGGTACGACTTCATTATAGAAGTATTCGGGTAACATAGATTGGCATTCATTTTGACCAAATATCAATTAAGTATGTGTACTTCAAAATTCATAATCTTTGTCCATATGCATTTGTTTCATTCCAATGACAATTAAATATGTGTACTTTAAATTTCACAATTTTATGAGTCGTATCCCGCAATTTCAGTTCTTTTTCAGGCTAATCACAATTTTTTTGAGAGATAAATAAACAATTAACTATTGATAATTTCAACCCAATGCAAATTCCACACGACTACTTTGATTTGAGATTTTTATGTGTTTTGCTCATGATTTTTATCCATTTTTATTTGTTTCACCCCAGTGGGAATTAAGTAGGCGTATTTCAAATTTCTCATTTTTGTGGGCTTACACGAATAATTTTTGTCTATTGGCATCTAAGTTGCATGGAAACGAGCACGAATACTGGTACGAGTGTGGGTACGGGTACGGGACACGGTAAAACTATAAAATGTAGGGTACGGGGACACGACTACATATATATATTCAATTAATACTGTACATAAGATAATTTTTTCCCCATCATGTGTCATTAGAATTAAAATTCCGATCATATTTTTGAGTTTCTTTTATCATATTGATTATCGTGAATTGTAAACTACTCATTTTTTACTAGACATCTAAACGACCCATTAACTATATAGTTTTAAACTTAGGTATGGACTGAAACGGATCCGACCCGTATCTCATTAGTTTTAAAAGACGGATATGAATCGTAAGCTCTACGCCCAGAAAGTCTTTGACAAGTATCTTAAATTAACACATATATCGTATAATTGAGTACATGTTGTAATAAACGCATGTATATATTCAAGAAGTGTCCATAAAGTTTAGGCATGGGAAAGTATCGGGTACGTGTCCGGTACAGGTACGACTTCATTATAGAAGTATTCGGGTAACATAGATTGGCATTCATTTTGACCAAATATCAATTAAGTATGTGTACTTCAAAATTCATAATCTTTGTCCATATGCATTTGTTTCATTCCAATGACAATTAAATATGTGTACTTTAAATTTCACAATTTTATGAGTCGTATCCCGCAATTTCAGTTCTTTTTCAGGCTAATCACAATTTTTTTGAGAGATAAATAAACAATTAACTATTGATAATTTCAACCCAATGCAAATTCCACACGACTACTTTGATTTGAGATTTTTATGTGTTTTGCTCATGATTTTTATCCATTTTTATTTGTTTCACCCCAGTGGGAATTAAGTAGGCGTATTTCAAATTTCTCATTTTTGTGGGCTTACACGAATGATTTTTGTCTATTGGCATTCATTTTGACCAAATATCAATTAAGTATGTGTACTTCAAAATTCATAATCTTTGTCCATATGCATTTGTTTTATTCCAATGACAATTAAATATGTGTACTTTAAAATTCACAATTTTTATGAGTCGTATCCCGCAATTTCAGGCTAATCACAATTTTTTTGAGAGATAAATAAACAATTAACTATTAATAATTCAAAATTCGTGATTTTTGTTCATTTCAAATATAATAAGCAAGTTTTATTCAATTTTGTTCTTTTCAGCCTAACGGCCATTAAGTGTATATAATTCAAATTTAACAATTTTCACGAGCTATAACCCACAATTTTTTTATAACACCTTGACAACTGAGAGATAAATGAACAATTAGAACCATTGTATCTTCTTAAGAGGGATGAATGACTCCCTCGAAATGATTTAGCTGCCATCAATCCCAGATTCTCTCGATTAAATTCTCACAAATGATTCTGTGAACGATATTTAACATTCCATAATCATCCTGTGAAGGATCCCCCAACAATGGGCTCATCAATTCCAGTAACCTCATTCGTAAACAATCTCGAATTACAAATCAGGCTCACCTAACTTAACTATCAGTTGGTTCCTTCACATAACAGCTCATTTAAAAACAAAATCGCTCTCCTAAGGCCCGATCAAATTCAGATACAACTCCTTCAACGACATCTTGAAAGAAAACGCGGGGAAAAGACGATTTGGATCTTACCAGTGAGATCACGACCACATCCGCGAGCTCCGAGGAGCTTAGCGTGACCGGAAAAAAAGGACGGCGAAGGTGGGCCCGGGATCCTGCTCCCTATAGTCCACAGCCTCAGCAGCCTCGCGAGCTTCCGCGACAAAAGAAACGAGATCGAAACGAGAGAGATCCACAGGAAAAAGTTGATCGCCCTCGAGAAATAGTCCCTCAACGAGAAGCAGGCGCCGGACGAGGACGAGATCGTCTTGTCTCCGGCGAGGAGAAACCCTACGAGAGTGTACGGAGCCCTGATATCGCAAGCTTCCATTGCTTTCGCATCGATCGACCTACCTTTGGCGGTGAAGCCCTCGTCGAGGCGGCGGGATATTTATCCAGAAATTAGAAGATGGATGAGGGACCGGTACCGTACCTGAACAGGAAGTTGTGGGGCCCACGGTAAGGGTGGGTGTGGGTGTCGTGATCTTTATCCGTAGAGATGAGTTTAATTATTGGTGGGATGTTCGGCGTTAATGAAAAACATGTGGTGTCGGTTACGCGATACACGGGCGCCCTGATTGAAATTGATTGGAGCGTGTCCTTGTTTGACTGTTTGAACTTAGGACGGTAAATTTCACAAAGCCCCCTTCAAGTTTGTGTTTCTTAGAAAACCCTTTTGGAATTTGTCCGGGGAACCCCCATGGCGTTTTACCGCGGCGCCATTGTTTTCATCGCATGAGAGATAATCGCTCGTAGGCGTCGATCAGTTGACATTTGTTAGATTTCCGTGGAGAATATTTGAAGTGTAGACTTGTTGAGACAGTCTATAAAGACACAGCTTATTTCACTAGCGTCAATCACCATGCAAACCGATCAATAATTATCGAAATGGTCTGATTCTTTGTGATGACATATTTCTAACCCACTTAAAAGTAGTACTGCATATTTTGTCAAATCTATGTTTCAGGATCACATCCGGCCCCTCTCTTGCCTGTTCAGATCAAGCCTACACACGGTGAGACAACCTCGAAGAACCGCTTCCGTCCTTCGAAGCAACGGAACCACCTCACCGTCGGTCTGAGCTCTCTGAATCAGTCGGTCCTTAAGTCAGTAAATACTCGTCGCCGTAGCGGAAGCGTGTGATGGCCTAGCTAGTAGCCCTAGTGGATCAGTGCTTAATGCGAGCGTGATTCTAGCCTATATATGCTCGGTTCCTACGCACTACTCGACTCGGAAGGGATCGATGTCGTGCTCGCAGTAAAAGACAGACCCTCAAGTTAGTCTAGTTCTAATTCTCGCACCTCGATCTCCTCGATCTCAGGTACAGAACCCCGTATAGGGAAGGGCATTAGGATTGTGTGCGCGCTTGATCTCATGAAGATCTTAAATTAGAAATGACTGGAACGAGACTGTGAGCGTGTATACCAACGGAAAAAAAATCAAAGGTCAATACAGTGCAATACTTTCTACTTTGGAATTAAGTACAAGGGATCCAAGCACGGTATCCCTTTTGCATCAAGTCATCGACATCAATGAAGCTCGATCAATAATCGTAGCATTATTTGTCCCTTCCATGATCCTGTACAAATAGTATTATTCGGCTCCCCCACTTTGTTAATTTAGTTAATACCTTGCTTCTTATTGCTAATCCAACACACTTGCCAACCAAATTATAAAGTTGGACAAAGGAGTAGTACCACCAAGGATCAACTTAAGCTCACATGATCAAGTTTAAGAATTTCCAGACTTTCTATAATGCGTGCAACTTTTCAGTGGTATCAATCATGCACCAAACTAACAAATAATTGCAAGTAATTAAACAACTGGACTGATTCTTTTGGAATCCAAACCGGGTTTGTTTTGTTTTTTATTTTATTTTAACTGAGACTAATTTTGCCTGATCAATACAAATCTGTTGCCACTTGGTTCATAGTTTCTTTTCAGGATCACATTACCCCACAGGGAGACAACTTATCCCTATAATCGATGAATGCAACACTTTTGTCTTTGCATGGAATGCAACATTATGAGCATAAGGATAGCTTCCTTTTTGCATCATGGCTCGTGTCATCAAAGACAACGACCTCAATTGATACCCTATGGTAACATTTGTCACTTCCATGATCCTGGCTAGAGCATATTATTGGGCTCTGCACACTTGCTCCTTGTTGCCAATCCAACACACTTGCCAGCCAAATGAGTTATTCTATATATTTTAACTCTCTCCAAAGAAAAAGAATGAAAAACTTGTACGTATTTGTTGAGATTTCCCGAATTAAAACTAAGTTCGCCTGTCACTATTCTCGTAGCATATCATGGAATCAATTTCCACCCGCGGGATTTTATTCATGCATCTCACAGCAATAGGAGAACAACAAGGTTTCATATGAATCACAAATCACATCAACTGTCTGAAAAGAATCGAGAATGTAATAAAGCTGAGACATGTACCCTTTCATAAACAAGTTGCCTGTTGATGACATGTCGAGAATGGCTAAATCCAGCATGTTCTTTGATCAGCTAGAGAGGTAATGGTTAAGCAGCACAAAATTTTCATTGCATGTTTATATCAGGAGATCCTACTTGCTTTAATTCATACTCTTCAATAGAATCAATGCTCATTTACATGTCAACCACCGTGATGGAGATTCACTAAGAACTAGCACGAAGTATCACAGTAGTGTACAAAAAGCAAATAAATAAAAATAAATAAATAAAGAAAAAGCAAAAAAATATCACACTGCATATCCTTTCTAATCAAAATTTCTTTGGTATTAATTCTTTCCTCGGTGAACTACCTGTTGGGGATTCGAAACAATCAAATGGAATATGTGCCCTTCCGGACCTTGTGTTTGAGAGTAGGAAAGTAGAAAAATCACCACAGATAAAAGATAAAACTTACAGGAAAGTAAACAAGAAAGAACACACCAGATTTAACGAAGTTCGGCAACGTGCCTACGTCCTCGGGAGCCACACCACACAATTCTTCGATTAATTGAAGAAGATTACAATGCCCACAAATAGGTTTTTATCTTTCCGAGATCTCTCTAAAAGAATCCTCTCAAAACCCTCTTTTTCACGTGTTCTACAAACCCTAAAACATATTAGGTATATATAGGATCCCAGCCCAAAACAGAATCCTGAATAAAATAGGAATCTGGAAAAAACCGTATCCAGTCGACCGGACCATGTGTGTCGGTCGACCGACCAGAGCGTCATCTTTACAGGATCTGCTTGTGCACCTTTTCGGTCGACCGGCATAGTCCTCGCGGTCGACCGGCCAGAGAGCAGTTTTCTACTCAGTTTCCTGCAGTCATTGCGGTCGACCGACCTCCTCCGTCGGTCGACCGACCTGCATTTTTCCTGTTCTCTTCGTTGATTTTATTCCAGGTTTGGTCTACACACTCGAGACTAACAATCTCCCACTTGGAGATCAACCATCATCAACGAGCTCTCCCGAACTTCTGACTTCTTCGCAAGCATCTTCTCCTACCTGAAAAAATCCATTCTTTAATCAATATCATCTCGACGATCCCGCCGATCCTCCTAGTATGGCTCCGCCTTCGATTCCTACGTGTGAAGGCTAACTGAAGTTGCGCACAATTTTAATTTCTCGATGATCACTGCTTTCATCAACATATCCGCAGGATTTTGACTCCCCAAAATCTTCTCTAGCTGTAACTTCTCATCCTCAATCAGCAAGCGTATGAAATAATATCGTACGTCGATGTACTTAATTCTGGCATGATATACTGAATTCTTAACAAGGTGTATAGCGCTCTGACTATCACAATAAAGAACTCTGTTCCCCTATTTCAGATCCTACTCTTCTAGGCACTCGGTCAACCAAATCATCTCCTTGTTGGCTTCAGTCATTGTGACATACTATGTCTTAGTTGTGGAAAATGTTATAATCTTCTACAGACGTGAGACCCAGCTCACTGCTGTCGACGCCAAGGTATAAACATACACCGTAGTACTTCACCTTGTATCATAATCATCGACGAAATCCGCATCCACATATCCCCGTAGTACCAAATCCTTCCTCCTGAAATATAGTGGCTTGTCCGTAGTCCCTCTCAAATAACACAATATCCATTTCACGGCCTCCCAATATTGCTTTCCTAGATTGCTTGCAAACCTGCTCACAACTCCCACCGTATGGGCAATATCCAGCCTCGTACAAACCATCGCGTACATAAGACTATCAATGACTGATGAATATGGCACTCTGCTCATATGATACTTCTCTGCATCTGTCTTAGGTGATTGCTCCTCTAATAACTTGAACTGACTTTCAATGGGCGTGCTAACAACCTTAACATTCTGCATGTTGAACCTCTGAAGTACATTCTCGATGTATTCAGCTTGACTTAACTTCAACATCCCTTCAGCTTCATCTCTACTAATTTGCATCCCAAGAATTTGCTTCACTATACCCAGATCCTTCATAGCAAAATCCTTCACCAACTGCTTCTTCTAGTTGTTTATCTCCTCTAAACACGGTCCTGCAACTAACATGTTATCAATATATAATAATAACACGATATAACTGGACTCGAACCTCTTAAAATAGCAATAATGATCTGAATTGCATCTTTCATAGTCATTGCTCTGCATGAAGTTGTCGAACTTCTTATACTACAGTCTCGGAGCCCGTTTCAAACCGTACAAGCTCTTCTTGAGCTTACACACTATCTCTTTTTTTTTTCTTCAATGAAGCTAACATGTTGCTTCATGTAGATTTCTTCATCCAAGTCGCCATAAGGAAAGACAATCTTCACATCTAACTGCTCAAGGTAGATATCTTCTACAACTACTAAGCTCAACACCACTCTGATGGTTGTAAGCTTCACAATGGGGGAAATATCTCCGTATAATCTATTGGAACCGCTTTACAGCTAATCTGGTCTTATACCTCTTGCTTCCATCACTCTCCTGTTTGACCCGATAGACTCATTTGTTATGCAAAACTTTTTCTGTGCAGGTAGCTGGGCTAACTCTCATGTCTTATTTGAGTGAAGAGAATCTCTCTCTTCTTGCATTACATGCTCCCACTACTGAGATTCACTAACTTACATAGCCTTCTCATAACACTCCGGCTTTCCGCTATCTGTCGAAAGAAAGTAATCAAATAATAAGATATCTGGGATTCGGTTTGGGTACCCTGAATGACCTCCTAAACTCCAAGCCCTGGGTAGTAGCTTCTGCACCTGGAGTTTCCTCTGTTCTTCGGTCAGAACTAGCACTATCTCCCTCATCTGGATGTTCCTCCAAATCCATATACTCAGATCCATCTGTATCCTTAATGCTGCTCCTACTATTTTGGCTATCCTTGGCATTGTCCATGTCCTTGTACATCACCTCCTTATTGAATATCACATCCATGCTCCTGATGATCTTCATGTTCTTCTCATCCTAAAGACAATATCCGAACTCATCAATATCGAATCCAATGAATGTACACTTCTGTGACTTAGCTTCTAGCTTGTCCCTGATATGGTCATTGATATGAACATATGTCACGCAACCAAATACACGCAAGTGTGAGAGATTGATCTTTTTGTCACTCCAAACCTCCTTTAGAATCCCGAAATCTAATGGAACTGATGACCCATAATTAATCAAGTAAGCTGTCGTATGCACTGCATCCATCCAAAATGTCTCAGGCAGACCTGCATGTAATTGCATGCTCCTGGCACTCTCTGTCAATATCTTGTTCATCCTTTCTGTAACGCTGTTCTGCTACAGCGTCCCTGGAGTAGTCCTCTCCAAACGAATATCGTTTAGAGCACAGAATCTCTTGAACTCCTCCAGCTCGTATTCTCCACCGTTGTCTGATCTCAGACACTTCACCTTTAGATCTGTCTCGTTCTCCACCATGGCCTTTCATTTCTTAAAGATCCCGAACACCTCTGACTTGTGCTTCATGAAGTATACCCACACCTTCCTTGAGTGATCGTCTATAAAGGTGACATAATACGCCGAACCGTTAAGAGAAGACACACTAGCTGGACCTCATATGTCTGTATGAACAAGCTCTAGCTTCTAAACTTTAGGTGGTCTTCCATCCTTCTGAAAACTAACTCTCTTCTGCTTCTCGTAGATACAGTCCTCGTAAACACTAACTTCCACTGAATCCATGTCGGTTAGCTTTCCTTGTGAATGTATAATTTATATCCCCTTCTCGCTCATGTGTCCCAGCCTATTGTACCACAGATCTGCATTCTCCTTGCCAGCTGCAATTGCGAGGGTGTCACTCGCATGTGAGGTGAGGTAGAAAGTTTTGTTTTATTGCCTCGGGCAACCACCATCATGTCTTTGGAGATTTTCCACAAATCCCCGGTGAATGTTGAAACGTAGCCTTCCACTCCAAACTGGCCAATTGAAATAAAATTCCTCTTTAGCTTCGGTAAGTGTCTGACATTCTTCAGATTCCACTTAGGACCCTTCAACTATATTTGCACATCACCTCTTCCAACAACACTACATAGTTCATTATCCCCCAAGTATACTTTCCTAAAATCCTCTGCTACATAGTTATGAAGAAGCTTCCTATTAGCAGTGGTGTAGAACGAGGCTCCCGAATCAATAACCCATGAATCGGAATCACTATCCATAGCAAGGATCAAGGCATCTTGCACGAGATGAGCCTCCTGCTCATCTGTATCCTTCTTTTGTGCTTTACAGGTTGAAGACATATGGCCCTTTTGACCGCAGTTCTAACATTTCCCTTTGATAGGCCTAACTTTCGAGTTTGACATCTTCTTAGTTGACTTCGACTGATTCTTGTTCTGGTTACCCTTCTTCTGGTTTCTGACTCTCTGTTCAAGATTTAGGGTTGATTCTAAACCTTCTGATTCGGATGATTTTCTTCTAACCTCCTTAGATAGAACCATACTAATAACCTCACTCAGCTTTAACTTTTCCTTTCCTGTCGAATTGCTAATTGCTATCACACAACTTGCCCAACTATCCGGCAACTGCAATAGAATTAATAGGACATGCACTTCGTCATCAAACGTGGTGTCTACGGAGATAAGTTGATCATCAATCGTGTTAAACTCGCTTAGGTGTATCATGACGGAGCGTCTTTCTGCTATCTTGAGGTTGAAGAGTGTTTTGACGAGATGCACATTGTTTGCAGCTGACAGTTGCTCGTACATCTTTGCGAGCGCTTCTATAAACTCTATCGTCGTCTTCTCCTTTAATATATTGTGTGTGACTGTCTTGGCGAGCGATAACCGAATTTACCCTAGAGCCTTCCTATCCAGTATCTCTCACTCCTCGTCTGATTCCTCTTTCTTCTTTCCTTTAGCTTTGCCCATCAACGGACGGTACAAATCCTTCTGGTACAGATAGTCCTCCATCTACGACTTCCAGCGGCAAAGTCTGAGCCGTCAAACTTCTTGATCTTAGATTAGCTTTCCTCTGCTATGGCTCTCACACAAACCTTCTGAATGAAGCTCTGATACAAGTTGTTGAGGATTCGAAACAATCAAATCGAATAAATCACCGCAAATAAAAGATAAAACTTGTAGGAAAGTAAACAAGAAAGAACACACCAGATTTAACGAGATTTGACAACGTGCCTACATCCTCGGGAGCCGCACCATATAATTCTTTGATTAATTGAAGAAGATTACAATGCCCACAAATAGGTTTTTATCTCTCTGAGATCTCTCTAAGAAGATTACAATGCCCACAAATAGGTTTTTATCTCTCTGAGATCTCTCTGAAAGAATCCTCTCAAAACCCTCTTTTTCAAATAGGTTTTTATCTCTCTGAGATCTCTCTGAAAGAATCCTCTCAAAACCCTCTTTTTCACGTGTTCTACAAATCCTAAAACGTATTAGGTATATATAGGATCCCAGCCCAAAACAGAATCCTGAATAAAATAGGAAACTGGAAAAAACTATATCCGGTCGACCGGACCATGTGTGTTGGTCAACCGGCCAGAGCGTCATCTTTATAAGGTCTTCTTGTGCACCTTTTCGGTCGACCGGCCTTTTCGGTCGACCGGCATAGTCCTCACGGTCGACCGGCCATAGAGCAGTTTCTACTCAGTTTCCTGCTGTCATTGTGGTCGATCGAACCTCCTCCGTCAGTCGACTGACCTGCATTTTTCTTGTTCTCTTCGTTGATTTGATTCCAGGTTTGGTCTACACACTCAAGACTAACACTACCAGAAGCTAGCAGGATATATAGATTTAAAGCCAAAGAAAATAAACAAGGATGAAACCGAGAGGTTAAAGCAAGAACAACGCGCCAAAAATCTAGCCAAAAGTGAAATATAAACCTGAGACAAAAGAGAAACAATATGGCTGTAAAAGCTTAGTTCTTTACACGAGATGCTTATGCATACTCTAAGCATGAGTCTTTATGGTATGAGATAATGAACCAATTCTAGCACATGGTGCACATATTTAAGGAGATGCTAATGTAAATAGAGAATTAGATCTGGTAAAAATTTTATGATTGAGAGAGGTCACAAACTCTCCGTTCTTACTTGTTCCATAAGAAAAGTATTACAAACTACATTACGGGAGGAAGGGTAAAAAAAGAAGAAAGAAGTTGAGATTAAACAAGGAAAAAACCTCTACTCCTTAATTAGCCCTCTGTAACCACATTACATCATTCTCCCTCCCTCCCTTTGCACTTCAAACCAACGCTACAAATTTCTAAATCTCTGGCTTTGGAGCAATAATTTTGATAACTCCCTGCTCCATTGATGAAGATATCTTGTTATTAGCTTTTATCTTCTCTAGTTCAACCTCATCGACCTCCACGATATCCATAATCTTCAGTGCTAAGGGAAGAACCATTCTTTCCATCTCTTTCTTCTCCTTATCCTCTCTGTATTTCCCCCAGAGAACTGAGTATAGTCCACCAACAATCAAGATGGATCCTAGAATGCTGCAATGAGCAATAAAATGTAGGGGAAAAAAAGATTAGCCCATATTTCCCAATACAGGGTAGATGAAGTTTTTTAACGAAACATTAAGCAAATTTTGTTCACTAACCCTCCTAAATACATATTTTCAGAAAGGATGAAGGAGCCCATGATGGCAACTATGATCATCATTAGAGGGCTGAAAGCAGAAGCAAAGACTGGCCCTCTTTGTTGTATTACTAGTCCTTGGACATAGTAGGCAATACTTGACGTCACAATTCCCTGTTCATTGTCATAGCAAACAAGAGGCGTGTCAGAACTCATCAACACAGATTAAAACTTATCAAAGAAAGAGAGAGATAACTTTACTTACAGCATAGGCAGCAGCAAGGAGATTCATATCAAAGCCAATTTTCCAAACTGATGGCTTGTGCTCCATGACAAGAGTGACTGCAGTTGCTTGAAGAGTGCCCATAAAGCAAATCAGAGAAGTAAGGGAGAGTGGAGCAGAGGAGAATGACTTCAGTGTGTGAGTCTACAATCAAAGCAAATGCAATTCAAGAATTAGTTCATCTTTAATTTAGTTCCCCTAGCCATTAGGCCAAAACTCTGAAGTTATTGTGAAGATCAAGGATTGTAGTCTTATATTAATTCTAACATGCCCCCGCAGGTTGAGCGCCCTTTTCTATGGGTCGAAACCTGGACTCACGTAGCAGTGTCAATTTTTAGAAAATCCGCATTTAATTCGTGGCCGGTGAGATTTGAACCTGGGTTGCTCTGATACCATCTTAAATTTAGTTCCTCTAGCCATTAAACCAAAACTCCGAAGTTATGGTGAAGATCAAGGATTATAGTTTTATATTAATTCTAACAGTTCACTTCCCAGAAGTAACCAATATAATTTTATCATAATGTTATACCTGAGATGAAGTTACTATTATCTCTTTCTTCTCCTCATGTTGAGCTTTTCAAAAACTATGTTGATCTAAGTATTAAGAATAAATACAATAATGTATACCTGTAGAATAAAGAGAGAAGCCCAAGCTAGAGTAGCTACAATGAGGCAGATGCAGCCTAAGAACCAGTCTTTATCTGCAGAGCTACTAGAAATGGGCAACGCTGCTTGATGAGCATGAGCATGCTTAGTCCAAACCAATTCTACTAAAGGCCCCTTGTATAGAGTCATCAACATTGCCCCAGCCACTGTTACTACCGTTCCTACTACCTTAGCTTGATATATCACTTTCTTGATATTTATCTTCTCCATCCTATTTCAGATTAAAAACAAAATAAAATCACTAAAAATTCCGTCTACAATCTCTAAGAAAATTATGTCTTAATCAAAACATTATTGACCTGAATATGACGGCCATTACAAAGGTCATAGCAGGCAAAATGTTGCTCATGGCACAAGAGAAGGTAGGAGATGTGAGCTTCAGTCCTGCATAATAGAAGTTCTGGTCTATGACAGGCCTGCAAGATTTAACAGAACATGAGCTTTTTAATCTTAACTAGATTTGCAAAATGATGCATACGAAATTATTTATATACTAACCCGAGTAGGCCAAGTACGAATATTTGCATGAAAAGCGGGACTGTTATCTTCGGTCGCACTTTCCTGTCATGAACATTAATTGATAAAGTTAGAAACTTAACAAAAATGTATATAGAATGGTATTTTTTGTGTTTTGACATATTGATTACCTCTCAAGAATGAGGGCAAATGGAGCAATGGATAAGGTAGCAAAGGCATGCCTATATACAACAAGAACATAGTGGCTCATTCCATGATTAAGAGACACTTTGGTGATTATGTTCATGCCGGCATAGCCAAATTGGAGAGAAATCATGGCAATATATGGCTTGCAACGGTTGAATAGTTGACTCTCCATTGTTTGAGTTAACAATTGAAGAGGAAGGAGAAGATGTAGGAGAGGAAGAAACCCAAGTGGCTTGGCTTGTGATTCTCCTAGTGAGGGTTTGTAATCAGGGTCTCTATTTATACACATTTATGTACCACTTTTAGGTGCATTCTTGGAATTTCAATGCGTTGGTTAAATGAATATTCCGTAGTGATGCAATATATAGGATTATCGAAATTAGATATTATATATTCAAATACTTGGTTTTATCCAATTTAGATTTGGAAGCCAAGTGCAAGGATAGTGAGTATGTTCCACTTGGCCAAATTCAGGGTTTAAGTGGTGAGGGTCCATAGAATTAGAAGCAATAGGATACTACTAGTGGTGAGAGATGTGAGAGGCACCCATATACAGCTCAGACATAGTAGGCACAGTGACAGGAAATAGAATGGTGCACTCTGATGCTGCACAAATTAAAGGCCACAAGAGCGTGGTCGTGGTTCCCATGTGTGATCGATCATGCCACATGCGGCGGCATCACAGGAATCATCTCTCTGACCAATTGGCATTGACACAATCCCGGTGTGTTGATATTGGTAGCATGTTTTGGACAAGGTTGTTTGCATCTTAGGGATTGAATAATACGTTTCTTGTTAGAATATAACACTGTAAGTCTCAACTATCAGCACAACTTCAACATGGTATCAGCGCAATCTAGATTCAAATCTTACTAGCCATGAATTTCTAAAGTGGGTTAAAGAGAGGTTACTCCTCCGTGAGTCCAGATTTCAACCCATGAAGGGTCCTCAACCTGTGAGCATGTTAACATTATAACCCTTAAACCTGACAACCTTTGAGTTTTGATTTAGTAGCAGGATCCTTTGACATTTTTTTTCTTTTTTGGGAGAAAGTTCTTTGACATTTCTATTACATGAAAAAGGTTATATTAGCTCCAATTCCAGTTATATATCTGTAATTAGTATTGTAGAAGTTCAAATGTGGAAATGAAAAAAGGAAATATGGATAAATGTTTAATTCTAAAATGAAGGTCTTTTGTGTTATCTTTTTAATGAGATCATGCAATCCCTGGAAGACACCTAAGCAAAACCAGAAAGTTTTGGTTTTTTATTTTTATTTTTATTTATTGCTACTCCAACCTCCTCTTCCAACAATGCTTCTAGATAAAAATACCTTTTTTCCTGAAATGTTCTGGTTATGTAACAGTTTAAATCTCTCCATGCCACATATCCTGATTTGTGTGCTAATGAGCAATTATTTTCATTTTTTTCATTTCGTTTGAAGTTTGAAGTTTGAAGTTCTCTTTTTTATGATGTCTTTTCTGGGAAAATCAAAGTAGTTTTATTTACAGTAATAAGAACTTTACTGGTTATTCCTCCACTCACAAAAAATCCTATTTTTGTCTGCAAACTTCTTGAAGGAACGAGATATATCACCTTTACCGTCAAGTCAATCATGCCTGCAGACAGAACTTCATAATGTAGAAATGGCGACACGGCCACGACGTACAGGATTTTTGAAGCAGACAGGATTTTTGGTGTTGTTCGGACGACCGCGAGGATAGTTCGGTTGACCGCGAACCTTATTGACCGGACCACATTGTCGGTCGACCGAAACCCTGTAATTGATTTTGTTGAGATTTCGTGTTTCTTGCCAGTCGACCAGGGCTATATATCGGTCGACCGGATCGGGTTTTTGGGCCTGATTTCAGTTTCCTGATTGGTTTGGGTTTCTGTTTTGATATAAATAGGAACACACGTTTTAGGGTTTCTGGGGGAGCAGAATTGGGGATATTTGGAGCAGAGAAAAGAGCATTTTCTGAAGCTATTGATTAGGGTTTTGTTTGAGAGATTGAGAGCTTTGTGTGAGAGATTAGTTTGTGAATTTGTAATTTCTATTTGTACTCTTCTTCTCTATTAGTGAAAACCCATCCCCTTCTTACCCCATGGACGTAGGTAAGTTGCCGAACCACGTAAAATTCGTTTGTTTGTGTTTGTGCCGTTATTTTGGATTGTTTTGCTTTCTCTCTCGGCATTGGTATTTGTTCTCAGCACCCTATCGGTTTGGCCGCCGCGCACAACACATAACACATCCTATTATGGAGGAAGGATGAATGAGATAATTAAAGCAAATTTTCCGGGGAAAAAAAACTAACGAAAATGATTAGACATGAAAACCTTGAATCAGAGAACAAAGCCGAGGTAGAAAAATACTAGTTGCATCAGCTTAGAAGATATCTTTTGTGAGATCCATATCTAATAAATAAACTCTTAATTGTCATTTCTCTAGATCATCGTTATCCATTTAAGAGTTTGAGTGGCTAAAGAACCTTTACATATGTGATATACTAGTAGATAACAGGCAGCTCTTTATACACGTGCATTTCATGGAATAGATATGGTAAATATTAATAAATCGAAATAGCTAATGTTCACCAAGCTTTAAGATTTATTGGCATCTCAGACAAATTATCCTAGTAATAACAAAAAATATAAGAGATGCCGATAACTCCAAAATGAATCTAGAAGTTCCTATCATAGGATGGCTTTTACAGTTTACATTAATATCACTGATATCACTTAAAGCAACATAACAATGCCATATACTAAAATGGATGATAGATATTTTGACATACAATATTTAATTTTATAATTGAGTTCTAAAGTACTTGCATACGGGCAGGACCTAATACAACAAGCTACAATAAGTATTTATCTGTTATTGTTAAGATTTGATGACCTGAATACGCAAAACGTCAGCCAAGTTAATTAAGAAATGTTTTATCGAATCAACTATATATGCTAATAAGATTCCCTTGCCATTTTAGTGAATGAATATAAAGTGAAAGGCGCGCGGCTATTTGTGTAACATAAAGTACCAAATTAAATAACTATTCAAGACACCTGAGAGCTGGGCATAAGGTTCTCTATGCAAATACTCCTGCTCGTGTAAAAAGGGCATAATGCTAGATTCTTGATGGATAATTAGCAGCAGTTGGGTCCCAACGTATTAAGTTCGATGAAGTATCTAACAGTACTAAAAAAAAGTAAGAGGAGTCATCATATTCGCGAGTTTGTGTGGGATGATGACGCTATTGATCGATGCATTTGATCCTTTTTCAAATTGTTGGGAAATCCGGCTCTTTATTCTCTTAGGAGGATACCACTACCTACATTCACTGTGTCTTAATATGCTAGACAGTAAGGTTCGCGACCTAAAATGCATAATGCACGGTGCCATAAAATTCCTAGACAGTACAAGGACCAACTTGTATTATATAGTGGTTCAACACTATTGCAACTTGTGTTGCACCTGAATTGTATCTTCAAGCAACTTGAGCAAGTGTAAAATGCTCTGCGCCACATATGATGATATATATATCTAGCACACATTAGTGGGCTCAATGATCTATACCTCCAAGTATTTTTATGAACTACGTGACATGACAGAGAAAACTAAATGCTCTGTGCCACAGCTCACTAAAATTCCATCCTGTGAAGTTATCAGTTAATGGAGCACCAGAGAGAGAGAGAGAGAGAGAGAGAGAGAGAGATGATCATCTACTCACTCCAGTCATCTCCAACATATCAACATTCATCTCACCAATGCACAAATAAATCTCCGGTCAGTCACAAAAGGATGCATATATAGCTTCGTGGAAATCCCACTCTCTTCACAAAAGACATCCAAACAAACTAAAGCAATACTCTTAAAATAGTTTTGGAAGGGAAAATAGAGATTGGCGCCTATGGCAATTGATGCTAATAGTGTCCTGGAAAGCACAAGGAGATGGGACTGTGAGTGTTCTTGGTATGGGTGAACGATCATGGAAAGGATGGTTGGTTTTCTAAGAACAGCTAATTCTTGAGCAAGTGTAAAATAGATGAGATTCCAGACTTGAACTACTGATTCCAGCCTTGTATAAATATTTATTTAGACAACCCTGTATCACATTGCCTGTACATGTTTCAGTCTTTTATATATATTTATTTTCCACTTCCCCAATCCGCATGAAATCAATTTTGACAAGTAGGAATTATGAGTTCTTTTTCCACCGAATCATCATGTTAGTACCATGTCTGTATCCGTGATTAGTAAACGGATACGAATAAATTCTGAGTGGAGCAGAGAGGGAAAGTGGCAGTGTCTGATTGGTGTTCCCAAATACTGGCTAGTATCATGAGATGTGGCCAGCGCAAGAAAGTTCTGATGAGAGAGGAATGTTTGCCTGAAAAAGTGTTGGAGTTGGCTTAATTTCTAACTAAATTTATTGCTGCAATTTTTTACATGCAGATATATTTTTGCATGGTCTTTTCGGGCATGGTACAATCATTATTTGGCTCGGAACTCTATATGAAAGTTGTAGAGGTACATGCATAGTTTACTCTAAGCTTTGAATCACAGGAATCGGAGCAGTATGGATGGAGTTATGGTCAGTCAAAGTACCCTACCCGAATCTGAATAGATTTGTGTTTTCCCAAGCATTTTGAAAGATGAAAATGTTAATCAATGCCTATAAAAAAGCATGCTCTCATTGTAGAGAGGAAATAAAAGGCAACACAAGGGTAATCTAAGTTTTTCACTTGTTATCTTGAAAGTATAGAGAGTTAGAGTGAATGAGAGTCTCTTGTGTTGTAGAGATCTCAAGTGTTGAGTTAATAGACAAAGAGCGTGAGTGAGGGTTGTGTGGAAGTCGGCGTTGTCGGGTGTACCGTGTTGTGCGCAGCGGAAATTTCGGCAGAGTTTCTGGTGCACAATAAGAGAGAAATATCGATAAGAATTCTTGTTTCTCAAAGGGAACAAGAATCTGAAAGCCTAATATCCCATCAAAGTGGGATATTTGCTCTTCCTCTCGTCAGCTCTAGGACTGCGCGTCGAGGGATCCTAAAAACTATTACAATGGCCACAAACTCAAACACCAATTTTTACGTGGTTTGGCAAACTGCCTACGTCCACGGGGCAAGGAGGGGGGATCTACTATTATAGAGAAAAAGAATACAATGGGTTTACAACTCTCACAATCTAAACCCTCAAATAGGCTCCTTGCTTTTCTTCACAAGAAAATGTCAGCCTTCAAATACTTTTTCTCTC